GGGAACACCACCCTCTGATAATGTATGAAAAACATATCTTGACAAATCTGGATTGCCCCTGGGATTAATTTTGGATGCCCCGAGTTTACTGCTGATAAGCTGCGTGATGCACGACAATTCTTGCGAATAGCTTCACCTCTAAAATGCCCCGAGCTATATGGTTGATGAGGAGAAATTGTCTCAAGAGGATTTTACAAAAGACCTGGCATTCACCATGCTCTGGTGTCTTCAAACTCTTAGAGAGATTCATCAAATCTCTACGTGATTGCCTCGGATTGACTGTAGTCGGCACAACAAAGTCTTCGAATTTTTGCCCCAAACGAGCAAACAAGTTGGGAAAGCATTAATTAGGAGAAGCAACATGTCCGTGCTTAAGGTCTTTAGGTGACATGCCCCTGGATATGATTTTTCTTGAAATGATTAGCCCATTACTCAACATAGTTTCAGGCCTTAAAAGAATAAACTCATCACTGGTGCTTATGTGAGCTTCCTTGATATCAAACAAATGTTTTGCAGTTAGAAAAAGTTTACTATGAGAATGAAAATTCTAATGCAACAGTTATGTAAGTCTTGAAGATTTTGAAAGATGTCGCACAAAAGATGTCGCACAAATTTTGCGAGTTAAAGCACCATTTATTTTTGTATAGGAAAAACATATGATACCAACATAACTATTTAGAACATTCATGAGAGTCAGGAACACTATCTCATTGAAGTATGCTTTCAAAATAACCTTGCTTCAATTAGGACTTTTGAAGGTTGTAACGTGGTCTGGTTCATGGTTTTTAGAAAAAAGATTTTAAGGCTCAAAGTATTTGGTGCCCACCCATTCTTCATGATGTTCTCCAACCCTATGTTCAGTTAATTCAACATGAGTGTTCATCTCTCAAAAGGATTTTGTGACGGTCAAGGAAACGACGAGGCTTTCGGAGTAGCAACCACCCTTATCTCTTCATGTTTGTAGTCACCAATTTGTTCTTTGCTGAGGACTTTTCTTTGTATTCCTTTCTTTGCAATTTTTATTTTCCCTAACTTTTGCCTGAACTAATTCTTTTTTGAATTGATAGTCCAGCGGGATGCCTTAGTTTTTGCCTAAGTCGTAATTTTTCATGTTTTTGACTTAGTAGGCTTTTTCTTTTTCTCGATTTTTGACTTTTTGAACAAAATGTGTGACATTGGCTTGTCTTTGCTTGTTGAGAGGATTGTGATTGCCTCGTTTCTTGATGAATGAGGGATAACATTGTGGTTCCATATCCTCTAGATTCATTATACATGAAGGATAGCCCTCGTAGTTTCTCTTCAAAAAACATCTTCCTTATGAATTTTGAACACTCAGTCAGATTAACTAAAAACTACCCTGCCCCAGGTTAAAATTCAAGGTTTTTTCGTATAGAAAAGAAACTTCTGCTTCAAAGGCTCAAAAGGGGTTAGCAAGGGATTATCTTCCTTATATCTCCAGTGTTTAGGGATTTGAAACAATGCATGTACATCATCAGCAAGATTTTATCCAAAAGCATGCAACCAGAGATTTTGTGTTCTTTAGATCATCATCCTCCCTTCAATCTCTGCCTAGGCAAGAGAATGAGCAACAATTTGGTATCATAGTGCAAAAGCAATTTAAAATTTGAAAACAAATATGAGTGAAACGAATGAATTTCTTCAAGACAAACATATTCATTGTATTAAGATAATCATTCAGATGCAAACAAGTTCTTACATGCAAACAATGTTTTGATAAAAAAGAAAAATTACAAAAAGCATAAATAAGTTAATAATCTAGGAAGGCTTTCCATCTGGACTTGAATTACTGAAAACATCCTTCAAAAATCAAAGTCACCATCAATCGTGTTTACTCTTCGGCGCATGCTTGATTTGAACTTCAAAACCAACGTCCTTGAATGACAAGATACCACTTCTGACCAACTTCTGAACCTCAATCTTCAAAGCAAAGCAACCCTCCAAGTCATGACCAGGAGCACCTTGATGAAAGGTACAAGTCAAATCATCTTTGTAATACCAATGTATCTTCTCAGGAACCTTCGGTGGAGGTCGGGTCTGAACCAAATTCCTCTGCATCAGGATAGGGAACAACTATGTATAGGTGATTGGAATTGGATCAAATTGAGTTTTCCTCTGATTAGGAACTTGTTGATTCTGTTGATAAATGGGAGAAACATCATGATTCTGATGATGATTATTTCCTCCTCTGGTTCTCTTCTTGGAAAAGTCATTATCAAACTTCTTCACACCATTAGTTAAGCTACCCTCTTCATATGAACATCCCTTCCCAACATCTTCTTCTAGACTCACTCCCACATTCACCTTGTCAGGAAAGTCATTAGGTGCATTAATTATCATCTTCTCATGAATGAATGATTTCAGAGTTTCAGTGAAGACTTTTATCATCGCTTCCTTCCTCCTAGAAGGATTGACTTGGGAGGCAACCAAAATTTCAACCAAACCAGTTGAGTGCTCCGTACTAGCTTTCAAAATAGTCATCTCTCTACGGAGTTCAGAAACCTCTTTCTTGATATTCTCCATTGTTCTCTTAGCGCGAGTGTTGTACTGGTGAGACCAAAGGAAAAATAAGACTCAGAAAAAGACCTTTGAAAGTGAAACAAAAAATGTAGAATGATGTATGATATGCAAAAGAGAGTTTTTATTTGATTTTTAAGGAACTCAAGATATTAAGTTGTAAACATCAAAGTATGAAGATAGAAGATGAATTTTAAATTGGCTCAAAGCGTTGATCAAGTTATCATCAAGATCAATCATCCATTTTGGTGGATTAGGGTTTTCACCCCATCAACACCCAATATCCATTGAGCTTGACAAAACTTGTGATGTTTACAAAGAAAGACTTCTAAATTCCTTGAAAATCGAGTGAAAAGGGTTTTATGGATGCATGAATGCATGGCTATGCAACAACCACAAGCAAGGTCACAAATAAAGTTGAAAGGTTCAACGTCACGAGCGTGGAGTCAAGGTAAGGAACACCCCCAAGGTATGTACTAACGGTTTAATCACACCTGTAGAACAAGGTTCTAAGAGTTCCCGGAGTCTACATTCCTCCTTCAGATATTACCGACGTCTTGATTACTCAATAATCAGCAATATTCTCAAGAGAAACTCATCCGAGCGTAGCATCGCGTGACAACTACTTCTGGATTACTCCGTTATAATCTCCGCGCTACACCTAAAAGGCCAAGGTGGGTTAAGGGTTCTACGGTTCTCAGCTTCTTTGGCTCCCAGGTCGAAAATAATAATGTCTTCCCGATTACTCGGTAAACAAATATTACGTTCAAAAGGGCCTTCCACTGAGTGGGGGATCTCATGCCTCCTTCTTCGGGATTACTCCCTCAAAGTTAACATGACTATACCGCCCGTCCTATTCCTAAGTGTAACTTAGTCCGGGTATAGGACTTGTCCTTTGTAAATATTATCAACACCCAAATAATCATAATATATACATATAATCAAACAAACAAATAATGATAAAACAAATAAAACAAATTAGGCTTAACCCACTTAGGGATGGACCAGCAAGAGGTCAATCTTTCCCCAGCAGAGTCGCCAATTCTGTAGCGGTGAAAATCGGAGATCAAGCTATTAATTAACTTGACTCACCAAAGCAAGAGTCACCACCGCGCTTTATTATTTCCAAGGGAAAAGGGGAAAGAGTGAAATAAAACCCTAAAATATGCAATGTAAAGTAATATTTAAAAGTAATGAAAATACAATGCATTTTTTGAAAGAGATCGAGAGTTCGGGGGTTGGTTATACAATGGGAAGGTATTAGCACCCAATGCATCTGCGGTACTCCGCATGAACCTTTTGAAATATCTGTTTTTTGGTTAAAATTGTTTGTTTGATTAAAATGGTTTGTTTGGTTAAAGATCAGTGTTGGAGAGATTTTGAAGAGACGGCGACCTAATGTCGAAGTTTTGACTTAAAAGGTGTGAGTTTGAAAATTGAATCTTTTGGGAAAATCGACTTAAGTTTGGAAAAAAAAGTAAATAAGAAAAAATGAATGGGGGTATTCGCACGATTGTAGAAGACATATTTGATGACATGAAGTCAGCTGAGTTGAAACATTTCCCTTGGAATTAATCATAACCAGGTAGATCTAATATTCGAGTAAGAAATCGTAAATAATTAAAATCCACGAGAAACGAACAAGGTAGATAACAAGATAAATCGTAAGAAATTAAATGAATGGACAAAGAAGAATCATGAATAAAAGAAATGTGTAATTAAAAAATTATCTAAACTAATTTGAAATTCTAAGGTTACTAAGTAAACTAAACTTAAATTCTAAAGTGTCTAACTAAATTAAATAAAATTTTGAAGTTATTAACTAAAACTAAATTAAAACTCTAAAGTTACTAACAAAAATTCAAAAGTTATTAAATTAAATCTAAAATAAATTAACACTCTAATATTACTAAATTAGGTCTAAACTAAATTAATTCTAAAGTTGCTAAATTACATCTAAACTAGTTTAAGTATAAACTAAATTCATTATAAAATTACTAAGTTAATCTAAACTATATTAATAATAAAATTACTAACTTAAATAAAAACTAAATTAACCCTAAATTAAAGATTAAAATTCTAAGATTAAATTCTAAAGTTACCAAAATGTATCTAAACTAATTGGAAGTTCTAAAGTTATAAAATAGATCTAAACAAATTAAAATTTTTAAGTTATCAAAATATACCTAAACTAATTAAAGGTTCTAAATTACTAATTTATATCTAATTAAATTAAAATTCTAAAGTTATTAATTATGATTCTAAATATTTTAAAGTTATAAAATACATCTAAACTAATTAAAAAATTCAAAATTAATACTAAACTAAATCTAAATATAAGATTTACTAATATTTTTTTTATATTTTTTTTTATAATCAAATGCTCTCTCTTCCCTTTACCATCTCTCTAAAAAATCTCTTACTTTCAAGAAACAATACACCAAATCTCTTGCAATTTCACAATCATGAATGTCACTTACAAACCAACAAGCTGTGAAAAAAAACAAGGAAAGACGTTACCGGATCGGAAGGAGACGATGGCGGCGAGGTGCAGTGGTGACTGGCGGCGGTCTGAGTTGGTTCCGTGGTGTCCGATTCAGATCTCGCTTATTTTCCTCTCCATTTTCGTAGAATCAGAGGGTGATTGCATCGATGCTGGTTGTGGCACAATCCGTCGGTTCTGAGCATCGCGGTGGTGGGCTTTGGATGACGCGGTTGTCGGTGTTCTACGGCTTCACCATTTCGCGTCAGAATCAGTGATTTTTCCTTTTCATCTTCTTTGTCTGCTTCTTTTTCTTAACAACAACCTGTAAGCAAAGCAACCAAAAGGGTGGAAGAAATATACACACAATAAACAACGACAACAGCGACTACTTTATTCTAATTTTGGGCTGTAGCTTCTTTTCGTGAATTTATTATAATTTTTTTTTGCAGGTTGTTAGGTTGAACTGGTGGATTGTTCGTATTGGTGTTGCGGTGACTTGGTGTTTGTGTTGTTTAACAATGGCGAGAGGTTTGTGTGAAGGAAGCGGAAGGGGGTGTGATGTCTTTGAGAGATTCTTGAGATGCAAAGTCTTAGATTATAAGCTGAGATAGTGAAAGAAGAAGGAATGAAGTGAAAGAGAGTGGCAATGATGCATAGAAGAAGTAATGTTGTGAGGAGAAATTTGAGTTCTGCAGCATAGTTTCTTGGTGGAGAAACAAAGAGCTTCTTTTCTTTGTCTTTGATGGCCATTGATTGATGTAGCCACGTTGAGGTGGAAGTGACTATTTTGGAGTGAGTGATGAGTTTGTGTGTTGTTAATTGTGTGTCCATTGTTTGTGTGTTTAGATTGAAGAGATAAAGAGATGGTGGCTTACTGTAAGTAGAAAAAAGAGGAATAGAAAGTTAGAGAAAGATAAGGGTAAAAAGTGATTAATATTGTTTTGGCAATTTTGTATCGATCCTCAATTTCATCCAACAACCAATGAAAATCAAGCATAGTATATTTAATATTTTTTTGTGACTAAAAAGCCCTTTAATGACAAAAATAAAAATAAAACTTGAAAGTATAAAAAAAACTCAATTTAAAATGATTTTTTTGAATATTTTATGAATAAAAAATAAAGACCCAAAAATGACCGAAAATGATAAAAAAAACGGACGAAAATTTATCCGAAAAAATAAAATGAACACATTAAAATAATCTACATGTCACAAAGATTAAAGAAAAAATATTCAAGAAGTCAAAAATCAAAAATAAAATAATAATTAAAATATCAGACTAAACAGACGTTTAAGGCTAAAAAACGAGACTGCGAACTGTACCGAAAAAATAAAGCGAGCATACCGTCATAATCTACGCGAAGCGCAGATTCATAAAATGATCGGTAAAAGGTGAAAACTTGAAATATTTTCTCGCTACTTTCCCTCATAGTGTCGAATCGCTTTTAACAGTCTGTCTATAAAACCGAAATATTTTATTATCGACATATAAACAATTTGGAGCAATGCAAGAATATAGTAAACAGATAAAAATGAATGAAATGAAATGTCGGGTATTTTACAACTGAAAGACGATGCAAACTTTGATTTAAACTGACTTTTTCTGGTCAACTTAAATACGACTAATGATGCAAAATGTGATGAATGAAGGTATTTACTAATGATTGTGACCAAATGACAAAATATGGTATGAATGTGCGACTGAAAAATTAGGGGCGAAATTAAGGGTGCAACGGTGTGCCTTGATGAATCAGTCTTCGAGAATCCACAATCAACCGTACTTCTGGCTTGGGGGACTCAAAACCTTAATTGAGGCGCGACACCTGATGCTCTTGATTCAGACCTGTCTCTGCACATGACACAAAAGAAAACATGAACATACACCTCTGTATGCGATTAGAAATTAGTGATACATGTGCTAAAAATGTTCAAAACACTTGACAATCTTCGCATAGTCAAAGCTCGAAGGTGAGACGTTAAAACCGACCGTATTTCGTGACCTTGACTTATCTTAAAAAAAATGCAAAAAATAAAAATGGGATCTTAGGTCAAAAATTGGGGTACAACAATCACCTTTAACATGTACAAAGATAAAAATTAACTGAAAACGATACACTCGCACATGCGCACTCTTAGGGTACACCCCACTTGATTGCCTTCGTACGCGGTCATTGAGTATAGGTAGTTTTAGAGGTCGCCTCGAAACGGTTGCCTCAGATATTGTTGCCTCAAAACAAATGATCTAAGACATTAGGGTTACCGCTAAAGCGTCCTAACATTGCTTTGGTGACCGTAAGTCCCTAAATTCGAATTGACCCTTAAACTCCAACGACAGTGCTACCTACTCATTCATAGTGGGATAGCATTGTCTAAAAGACATTAGCATAGAATGATTCCTTTTTCGAGTAGGTAGATGGTTCTTTAGTACTTGCTCTTTCAAAACAAAACTCTTCACACTTACACTTTTCAAACAAAGTTTTCAAAGCACTTCATACGCTCTTGAGGACAGAAGAAGAGTTAAATCGAAGTTTTCAAACAAAAACTTTTTTCAAACCCACAAGCACAAAGAAAGCAATTTTGAAAACAATTGAGCAAGTACCTAAGAGCCCGTGGATAACCACGGATAAAAAGGGTGCTAACACCTTTCCTTTCTATAATCTACCCCCCGAACCCGAGAAATATCTCGAAAAAGGAATTTTTTTGTGCTTTTTTCCTTTCCTTGTTGGATAAAATAAAAGTCGGTGGCGACTCTTGCTTACCGCGACATTTTGCAAAAACAAACGCAAAGCACAAACCAACATTCCAAAAAACAGTCAGTTTTTTCCCACCGTATCACACCTATTAGTTTATGCGAAAACTTCGCCTAGAGTCAGTGGAATTCCACAAAATGAATACCTCTCGAGAGACATCCTCTTGGAAAGTGGGACTTTACAATGACACTAATGACTCTTTGTACGACCTTTAAACTAAAAAACTCATGATGATACCTTTCATGACCTAAAGACGAAAGTCTCGATCTGTAAAGAGACTTATCTTAAGGGAGGCCCTTATGCCCTTCCCTCTAGTGTTATTCGTGATACCCTTAAGGAAACCACCTTGTGGGGAGGGTAGAATATCCGTAGGCCAATACTAAGAAACTACTTTCTAAGGATACCTTTCACTAATCCCATTACAATTTGCAAACTCGCAAGGGTTATCACTTCATCCACTACTATCTTTAGCTCGTAGGGCTTCCGTCTATATCATCATCCCTATAGAGACTCCCCGTCGTCTTTCATTGGCCATAATCCTCAAGGAGTTTATGCATGTCTCAATTTTTTAGTCAAAGTACGATATCATCATCAAACATGTATAGGGTACCACTACGTCTACCATCATAGTACGTTTACATCACATTATCCATAAAAATTTCTTACCCTAAAAACCAAAAAATGTGCTTTTGCATACCCAAATATTTTCATACATTTTCATTCTTCATCCATCTGCGTAAAACTCACATCTCTTCCACTCACAGAAAAATTCCAATTGTAGTCCAACAAGGTGATTCCCAGATACTCAGAACAAACTCGAGGCAGCTCACGAAGCAAACACAACGTTAGCTACAACAATGGAAGAAGGTAAACAAGCCACAACTGAGGATGTCATTACACCTCAAGAAAACACTCAGGCTCGACCCCGGCCTATACAAGCTTCAATTAAGAACTTTGATGTGTAAGAACACGCCATTTTCCAAGATGCGTATACTCCATCCCATAAATCTATTGAGTATCATCAATTTGAATTCCTTGTACCGAAACCCCAAGGGGAAAACTCGACCAAGAATAATGAAGAGCCACAAGATGCTGAGGTCACTACAAGATACCGCATGCTGGAAAAGAGGCTTAGCTCCATAGAAGGACATGACACTCATAACTTTGATGTTTTTGCTTTAGTTTGGTTGAAGATGTGGTATTTACTCTGAAGTTTAAGATGCCAGATTTTTAAAAAGAACAGAGGGTGTAGTTGTCCTAAGACCCATTTGAAGATGTATTCTAGGAAAATGACAGCATACCCACGCAAAGACAAATTTCTTATCCACTGTTTTCAAGACATTCTTAGTGGAGCATCATTGGAGTGGTATACACAATTGGAAAGAAACCACGTTTCCACCTGGAATGACATGCTTCAGAATTTCAGAAGCATTATCAATACAACATTGGCATGGCTCCAAGTTGCGTGAAACTGCGAGATTTATCTCAGACAAGTAACGAATCCTTCAAAGAATACGCACAGAGATGAAGGGAATTGGATGCTCGAGTACAACCGCCATTATTGGATTAGGATTTGGTAGACATATTCATGAGCACCCTACAAGGTCAGTACTATGAAAAAATGTTGATAAGTGTGTCATCATGCTTCTCTGACCTAGTAATAGTTGGGGAACGCATCGAGAACGGCATCAAAACCCGAAAGATCCAAAGCATCTCGAGTAACCCAACTGGTGAATCCCTTGGAGATTTCCAAGGGGAAGAAGAAAATGAAACAAATGTAGTATGGGGAATTTATCAAGCTCCATAAACTCTGTCTCATGTGCCTTATCCTCAAGTTTCGTATGTAGTAGATGCTGTTGTACCCCAATTTTTGCCCCTAATATTCCTTCATCATATCATATTAATTAAATTATAACAAAGTAACACACTAGGGTTTGTTTCCTCTCCCTATCTTTGGTCTTGCTCTATGGGGAATCACTAAGCACCTTGACAGGTATTTTGTGATCATCTATGTTTGATTACTCTTAACTAACAAATACAATGTATGTGTATCCTAATTGTTGATGATGTAGGTGAAAGCACAATGCATTCTATCAAAGTTAACTTTTGGATTCTTGAGTTCCTCCTTTGTACCTTCCTCAACAAAGCTTCATTGAGATTCAAGCCTCTATGAGAGATACTTTGAAGTAACATCATGAAAAAGTCTTTCATGATTCATTATGCCTCAAGTTGTCAAATTTAGCTCAAAAGTACAAGGGTTGACTAAAGAAGTTTGACTCAATTGGACAAGTCTTTATCTCCATTGATCACAAGTGCATATCTCCCTCTATTCTCAAGACTTGGAAGTGGTTTTGGTTGCAATGGTTTCTCCTTAACATCCTTAAAAACTTATAATCATTTAACAAAGGTCTTTCTGAAAGAATGTTGATCAAAATTGAAAATATTTCTC